AAAAAGATATTTTGGCCTTGGAAAGGGTTCAGAAAAGGGCAACTAAAATGATTAGGGGTTTGGAGCGGGTCCCATATGAGGAGAGGTTAAAGCGACTGGGACTTTTCAGTTTAGAAAAGAGGAGACTGAGGGGGGATATGATAGAGGTCTATAAAATCATGAGTGGTGTGGAGAGGGCCAATAAAGAAAAGTTATTTATTAGTTCCCTAAATAGAAGAACTACAGGACACCAAATGAAATTAATGGGTAGCAGGTTTAAAACGAATAAAAGAAAGTTCTTCTTCACACAGCGTGTAGTCAACATGTGGAACTCCTTGCCAGAGGAGGCTGTGAAGGCTAGGACTCTAATAGAGTTTAAAGAGAAGCTAGATAATTTCATGGAGGTTAGGTCCATAAAAGTCTATTAGCCAGGGGATAAAATGGTGTCCTTGGCCTCTGTTTGTCAGAGGCTGGAGAGGGATGGCAGGAGACAAATCGCTTGATCATTGTCTTCGGTCCACCCTCTCTGGGGCACCTGGTGCTGGCCACTGTCGGTAGACAGGATACTGGGCTAGATGGACCTTTGGTCTGACCCAGTACGGCCATTCTTATGTTCTTATGTTATGTTCTTATGTAACTACCACACAGGAGACTCACAGTAGCCAGCTGGATTGGGTATCTAGGGCCTAAAATAACAGCTGCAATATATATTCTCATGCCTTCCCTCCTATTAGGCCTACAACCTGAAGAAAATTATTATCTAAGGCCCAATTGTTAAAACTCTGGGGCCAAATTATCTGAGGAAATATGCAGAAACAGCAACCAAATTGATTGCTCCTGCTCAAGAAGCACCCTGTTGAAATGTGTCCACCACATACGGCTCTTGAACAACAAGCTGATCTCCAGATGTCATCGCTAGGCTATGGCAGCTACCCCCCACATCTGTGGTATGTCTGCCCATGGCTGCTGTCAACTCAGACTTGCTGGCTGCTCACAATGAAGACCGAAGCCAGGCTGGCTGCATTCCAGTAAAGGGCTGCTGAAAAACTAATCCACCCTGACAAATTAACAAAAAGGAGTTTTGGATCTGGCCCAAGTGTGCTCTGAAAACACTGTTCATGCGGAGAAGCTGCTGCTTTTCCAATGTTAATCAGAACCAGAATAACAGGCATGGCTATTATTCAATATGTTTATTTCCCAGGAGTTTTCTAATAATAATAAAAAAAGCCAAGCCCTACATAAAACTTCACGTAAGGTTCAATTCCATATGCACAGCAAGCAATTTATGCATCTTCTCCTTAGGTCTTGAAAGATTTTTTTTTAATTTCTAAAAGAGAGGAATAAAAACAGGGCTATGATGAGGAAAATAGTCTCAGGGAAAGTAGAGAATCAGTTACATGTTTTTGTTTAGGTTGCAAAATTAAATACTTTGCATAATAAGCACTAATCATGGTCTTACCCTGGCTTTAATCTATTTAACTCTATGGAAATCAAATAAACAAAGTCTGTATTGAGGTATGTTCATGGGGCAGTAGGTGGGAAAGTTTGCATTGATGCTTCCTATTGTGAGTAGAGGTAAAATTTTCAAAATGGCGCAGGGATTTCATAGCTTAAGGCTCCATCTCCTAGTGATAAAACATGTTCCAGGTTAGATGACTCGGGCTCACAGGACTCAGGCTATGGGGCTATAAAAATGCAGTATAAATGTTTGGCTTGGAGACTGGGCTCTGGGTCCAGTCCCCTCCCCCCCAGCTGTTCCCTCCTCTCTCCTTTCGCTCTCTCTGCTCCCCATGGGGTCTCAAGAGCCTGATCATGGATGCTGCAATTTTATAGCCCAGCAGTCTGAGCCCTGCAAACCCAACTCAGCTGAACTGGGCCAGCTATGGCTCTTTCACTTACTCAAGAACTAAAAGCAAATAATCTGGAAATGAAAATCAAACCAGACGTGATATGTATCCAGGAAAGATGGTTGGCCAAAAAGCTTCTTTTTAAAATCCCAGGATATATTGTCTTTAAGAAAGAGTAAAAACTAGGAAGAGGAGGAGGTATTTGCATTTTCCGTTATGCAGTTGGAGTAAACATAAAGGTAATATATAAGGAGCAATGGTCTCAAGTTACAGCAGGAGAGGTCTAGGTTGGATATTAGGAAAATCTATTTCACTAGGAGGATTGTGAAGCACTGGAATGAGTTACCTAGGGCGGTGGTGGAATCTCCATCCCTAGAGGTTTTTAAGTCTTAGCTTGACAAAGCCCTGGCTGAGTTGATTTAGTTGGGATTGGTCTGGACTTGATGACCCCCTGAGGTCTCTTCCAGCTCTATGATTCTATGATTCTATAAAGTTTCTATATGGAATGAATGATTTTGTATGGAGGAACTTGAAAAAGCGATGTCCCCAAGTAAAATATGACATCTCTCTGAAAGCAGTGGGAGTGTTCTCTTAGAATGAAATAACACTATGAAAAAAGTAGTGATTCTAGTAGGACAGAACTATGCAGTAGTAATTCCAATATGAAAAACAGGCAAACTATCCACAAAAGTGGATGCCAATCAACCACCTTTTCTTATATCATGCCTGGGTAAAATTTTGATGAGAATGATGAATGAAAGGTGGGTTGCCTCTTTGCAGTGGCATTATAGGTAAGGTGCAGAATAACTGTAGGAGAGGAAGATGTACTACTGATCTCATTGTTAAATTAGAAACTGAAATACAAAAAAACTTTGTGGCCCAAAGTTTTCATGATAGCAGCCTTTCTGGAAAAGAAGCAAGACATCCTATTGAAGGATGTATACACAAGGGATAAGAATGTAAGGGTGGAGCAGAGAAGTTTTGAGTAAAAGGACCATTCAGGTCAGAGTTGGGAAAGTTACATCGATTATATATTACATTATAAACGGTGCACCACACGGAACAGTTACCAGTCCAATCCTTATTTAGTATTATGATAATGATCTTCCAAAACAAATAAGGGCTAATGTAGGTGCCACTCTATTCAGAGATGATTGTGCTGTGGGTTAGGAGCAGGGATACCGAGGTGGCAGAAAAAAGATCAAAAAAGCAATACGAGAGACCTCTGACTTAGGGAAATACACAGGGTTTCATATTCTCCAAAGAATTGTTCGTCACAAAATAGGAAAGCTACAAAGGAATGTATCTTTGCAGAGAACCAATACCTATAGTTAAAAGGTTTACATTTCCGGGGCTAATATTTCATACTTAGTTACTTTGTAAAGATCATATAAATCATGTTAAAGATAAATGTACAGGAAAGATTAACCTGCTTAAAAGTCTTGCTGGAACTAATTGCTTGGTGACTAAGAAAACACAGCAGAAAATATTTGGCATCTTAATCAGACCAGTTATTGACTGACGACCAAGCTCTTGGGTCAAGCATCAAAATCGGAACTTAAAAAAGTTGATTTAGTACAAGGCCAGGCACTGAGAGTTACATACAGTGCATTTATTTCACAACGTATATGGCTGCTATAGATAACTTCTAGTGAAATGCCTGTTGCGCTGCATATGAAAGCACTGGGCCTAATGTTTTGTGCCAAAGTTAATTGGAACTGCAGGAAAGCAAGTACCAGGCAAATATATAAGTGCAGTTGGAAATTCAATAGGTGAAGTCTAGCACAACGTTAGAACACCACATGCCGTTCAAATTAAAATGTGGTTGCAGGAACTGAAAGACAAGGAAAAGCTGAATGAAGTCCAAACTTTTAGCCATGGGAAAATTAGTTATGTATGGGAAATTGCATGTCCAAATGCATATTCGGATTTATTTTATAAACTTAAGGTTAAAAAAGAGACGGGAAGGAATTTTCCTCCAGGGTAGATTGGCAGAGGCCCTGGAGGTTTTTCGCCTTCCTCTGTAGCATGGGGTACAGATCACAGCTAGAGGATTCTCTGCATCTTGGGGTCTTCAAAATATTTGAAGGCTTCAATATCTGAGATATAAGTGAGAGGATTATTCTGGGAGGGGTGGGTGAGATTCTGTGGCCTGCACTGTGCAGGGGGTCAGACTAGATGATCATAATGGTCCCTTCTGACCTTGAAGTCTATGAGTCTATGAGTCTAAAAAGAAGCGTCCCAGTATATAGAGGAAAAGCATAGCATGTGCTCAAGTGTGGACAAGGGAACCCTGTAATACCCTTCTGAGAAGATGCATCGAGAGCTACTAGCCATACCTTCATTGTGCCTCTAGAAAGGCAAGGACACAGAAGGAAGTAACCCAGGGAGTTCGCTGAGTGATACGCTAGTCTAGGGTGCATGGCTGATTTGACTGCTCATGGCCCTGTGTTGGAAACAGGATGATCAGGAAGGTCTAGATTGTCTTACCTCAGCTCCTGGACTCAAGCAGTATGGCTAGCCAGTGCTCTGAGCACTACAGGGCATGGTCTAGGGTGATGTCTCCAAGCATACACCGTAAGATGTCCCTGCTACCATCTTTCCTCTGACAACACCACCATCCAGCCCTGTAACTTGGGTGTTATCTTTGACTTGGAACTCTCTCTTGGTTATCACATTCAGGCTATGCCTAATTCTTGCAGATTTTTTCTGCACAAGATCTAAGATATTGCCTTTCCTACTTATTAGGTAAACAATGCATTCATTTTATCATTTAATTGTGTTGCCTATTCTCATGGTTAATTCATATATTGTTTCATGTGCAATCAAGCTCTGATGATTTCATTGAAGTTGTAGGTGTAGGCATAGGAAGCGGTAGGTTAGGATCATAAGAGTATGAGATTTACAAGTCTTTATGCATGATGAACGGGTATGAGGTATACAAGCAGAATAAGGCTGTAGTGCATGGGTGGGGGACCTAAAGCCCAGGGGCCAGATGCAATACCCAGCTTGCCTCTGAGTCAACACTGGTGAGCCTGCACTGGCACTCCAGCCCCCGCTGCCTCCCACCCGACTGATTTTTCTGTGGATCAGCGGTCCACAATCCAAAAAAGTTCCCCATCCCTGCTGTAATGAAAAGCCTACAAGTTGAAGTCTATAAGATGTCAGCTTAGGACAGGTCTACACTGTGGGGAGAAGGTCGGATGAAGGTACACAACTTCAGCTATGGTACATATCTGAAGTCAACCTACCTTAAGTCAAGCTTGGTGCCATCTCCACAGCAGGAGTTTGGAGAAATACCTATCTCATAGAGCTGGAAGAGAAATTGAAAGGTCATTGAGTTCGGTCCCCTGCCTTCATAGCAGGACCAAGTACCATCCCTGACAGATTTTGCCCCAGATCCCTAAATGCCCCCTCAAGGATTGAACTCACAACCCTGGGTTTATGGGAGAAATACTCTCATTGACTTCCCTTACTCCTCATGGGTATGTCTACAATACAAAGTTAGTTCGAACTAACAAATGTTAGTTCGAACTAACTTTCATAGGCGCTACACTAGCGCTCCGTTAGTTCGAATTTAATTCGAACTAACGGAGCGCTTAGTTTGAACTAGGTAATCCTCATTCCACGAGGATTAAGCCTAGTTCGAACTAGCTAGTTCGAATTAAGGGCTGTGTAGACCCTTAATTCGAACTAGTGGGAGGCTAGCCCTTCCCAGCTTGCCCTGGTGGCCACTCTGGCCAACACCAGGCAAACTCAATTGCCCCCCTCCCGGCCCCGGAGCCCTTAAAGGGCCACGGGCTGGCTACACAGTTTGTGCCAGTTGCAAGGCTGCCAGCACCCGTGCCAGCACACCCAGCAGCTGACACCCATGAGCCAGCCACCCGATGACACCCAGCCCTCCCCCTCTTCCCGGGACCAGCCTGGCGGCTCCCAGGACCCTGCCCGGGGC